AACCATCAGCACAAACTTTAGGTAGAAGTGAAGTTTTCAAATTTCGCCACATATGGCTCACAGCTTGTTCTATAGACCTCGATGTAGATTGGTTGTAGATTGTCTTTTAACCTGTTACTGTTTACTTCTATATTTTGGTTGTATGTCCAATTGAAGAATTTCATTCATTTTATAATTATTTAATTTTAACCATGAGTCCATTAAAGCTAGACCATCGTGGAAACCTGGAAGCCCTGGAATACCGTTTCGTCCTATTGCGGGACTCCTCAGCAGTGAGCGGTAGAACGAAACAGCCGTCCAGTGCTTCTAGGTTTTACATGGTGGTCTACCTTTAATTGACTCATGATCTCAACCATTAAAATTACTACGATATTCCCAAAAAACCCTTTTGATACTAATTATTTAATTATTTAAAAATAAGTAATTGGTTAACTTGTTTTTGAAAGTGTGAGCCCATGTAATAATTAACAAACATATTTTCGTCTATAGTAATTTGTAAATTGTGCTTGTAAATTATGCATCTCTGTAATCTGATTAGGTGAAATCAAAGTAGCATACGTTTGTTTGACTGGACGTCAAAATTTGCATTTTCATGTTTGAATTCTAGTTTACAACAAAATTCTGTCAGACTGTTCTATCAGTGTTTTTATATCGAATTGTAACTACTGAATAAAAGGCACATCAATTCTATTAGACCACCATACTATACTATACTATACCATACCATACATAAGGAGAAACCAGATTTCTATTTTAGTGTTTCCATGTATTATTTTAACATATCACTTGAGCTAGTTATGGCCTTTGTATGTGTGTAAACATATGAATAAATCACTGTTACAAGATCTTATATAAGGTACATATTATTCACGCTAAACGTCAAAGATCGGTGAATGAATAACAGTTTACACTTTTGTAAATGAATAATAATTTAAGAGAAAGAACCGAAGAATATTTATCTATAGGGGTTACTTGAAAATGGTAATTTTCAATAAAATGGATGTCTTTCGTTTCGCTTTGAAAAGGTTTCGACAATAAATGAAATATTGTATTCATGAGTATAGTAGTCCATAGTTAAATAAGTAGTTTTCAACTATATATTGTCTAGTTTAAATAGTTGACTAGCATATAATTATGATAAGAAAACTTATCTGCATATGTAATAGTGTGAATCTGTGATTGCGCTTGGGAAGTGCATGGTTAGGTTTATTTTACGTAATGTCAATAGCAAGTGTTTTATAAGTATGCAGTAAGACTGAATCATTATCTTAATTTTTCAGCTTAATTTCATAATGACAACGAAACATTTTCATTATTTGAAATAGGAGATATTAGTGTTCGCTTATTCATTACTGTCTATTATATGCCATACAGTTTACTGATGAGTAACTCGATCAAGTGATTAGTTGATATTATGAATGAATCAATATTAGACCATCATTGAAAACTTGAAGACAGTGAACGGCTGTCTCATCCTAGACTGGAGGTTAAACGTTCGCACACAAGACCGAAGGTCCTGGGTTCAAGTCCCATGAGCGAGATCATGTATGTGCAAGAGTGAGAACTCCCATACAAGGACGAAAAGACTGTCCAGTGCTTCCAGGTTTCCAATGGTGGTCTAACATTGATCCATTCATGATGTCAATCTAAACTCGACATTCTCCACAACCGTATACTATTAGTGACATGTGTTGCACTTCATAATTTTTTGCTGATCACGTTAGAAGTCTCTTTTTTCTAAAATCTTTTGACTTGTTTGTCAAACATATTAGAGGGACACTAACAAAATTCTATATACATATTCACAATATGCGAATATTTCAATATCAAACCCGAAACAATTAAACTTTTTAATAACAACCATCTTCGACTTAGGTCTGATATCCACTGTCTTTTAGTCAGTTAGACTGCAAAATGAGAATGAGATCAACTGTATTAATTGATATTCAGCTGTAGCGAATTTTAATTTCGATATAATAATTAAAAAAGCCTATATTTTCCAGCTGAACAATCTGAAAAATTGATGTTAGACCACCATTGAAAACCTGGAAGCACTGGACAGCCGTCTCGTCCTATTGTGGGACTCCTCTGCAGTGCGCATCCACGATCCCGCCCGTGGGATTCGAACCCGATTGTGGTCTAACATCAACCAGTTCATGATCTCAATCGAAAACCGATAACCATCTCAAAATAATACTGCGTAATAGGTGCATGGAAAGTCTGTAATACCCTCATCAAGCATTTAACTTTATTTTCATTATTTTGAATCAGTATGATTAAGTATAGTCTAAACTGCAGGCTATACCACTGCCACTTCTTATTATCGTTAAATATGTCATTAGTTCAGTGTAATTGGTTTCTTTCAATCACAGAATTTCGCCTAACGACTATTTTTGGATACATAAGAACGGTTATCTAAAAAATATGATGTAAATGTATAAGTAATTCATAGATGATTGACGTTAAACACAATGACGACTGAACTGTCATCGAAAATACAGAAAACGTATACGGAATGTAAATGACAGCAATTTACTGATACAATTTGTAACAAATTTAAAACGAAAAATTCAAAAAAACTTATGCGCGGCCTTAAAAGGGCTTTCTATAGGTATCTTGTTCAAAACCCAATAATCATTTCTCTCCTATGGTTTTCCACTTTCCCATTCCCGTATTTCTTCAACAATCACCTAATAAAAAAAGAAACAAGACGTTAGATTCTCAGTTGACAGCTAAAATATAAACGTACCATCTTATTTGTTATATGAAGTTTTAGTACGTCTACGTCTCCCATTACACCTCCGTAATCGTGTCGTATATTGGACAATGGAATCAAGGAATTGTGGTTGTGGGTCATAACCACAAATCGAGTGAAACATAGCATTGCAACGAGAAACAATCTAAGTCCTTAATTCAAGTGTTTCACTCGGTGGCTGAGCAAGTTGGCTATAAGTCACATAGCCCATTGGCGAGAGCATATTCGTCTATGTTTTTGTTTCAATCATTGAATTATCCCGAGTTTATAGAAACAACATCATCTTCATGATTTAGCATTGCATCCAAATCCATGTTCGTTCGATAGATGGTTATATTTACCAGTTGGATTCCTGTTATTTCTTCATCCGTAGAAGTGAGGGCTTCGATATGAAGCTCAGGCGCCGCGGATATCGTCAACGGTGTTTGAGGCATCCTTCTGATATCTATGAAAATAAGAATCGCGGACCGCCTAATGGAAAAATGTCGCCCTTTCATTACTTCTGATAGCTGTCGGAACGCTCAAAACAATACATCTAGTACTTGGTAAGTCACTTACGTTCGTAGTTTAGAGAAGAGGTGATCACCCCAGGAATATTTACATTTTATATCACTTTTCAGAAAATGATAACTGGTAATTACCATTTTGAAACTAATCGATTCATTGGACAAAATGGGAGAAGATTTTTGATACAAAAATAACCGTGAGATAAATAGTATTTGTTCTAGTTGACCCATCTTTTTTCTCTATCACTTGTTAATTAATCAGGTGATAGTTTTCATCTCTCTACCCATGACGGTAGTCTCAATTCGAACTCACTCATTTCTAGCCACCATATCAAGCTAGTAAGCCTACCATGTTAAGGCCATAGCCTAGTTTGAGACACGTTCTCTCCTGTATGTTAATGGGTCGACAGATCGTAGTACGTAACAATAAGAATTCATTTTATGCTACAGTGTTCGTTATCATTATTTCAAAATATCAAGATAAGATAGATGTTGCCATTTACTGACGAAAAAATAGAAATAAGAAATGAATAAATAAATCTGATTCTTAAACAAAGTAATGTATCTGAACTTTAAATGTTGAAGTCATATTCCAGAGTGAAACACTGGATATATTAACAAGTTACAGAAAGATCAGAAGGATGAGAATCGATATCAAACCAGAATAAGATATCTTTTGATGTCAAATGAAGCAGTGACTTATTAACTCAAGCTGAAGGTTCACAGTTTTGTTTTATTACATTGTAATTACATTGAACTAACAAACTCACCGGAGAATCAGTTTTGAACTATTCATAAATCTTATTATTTCTTGATGTTAAACAGTGACAGTTGATATTTGAAAAGAAGTAATAACTCTGAATTATTTATACACTATGATTTTTATATCCTATATAGTTTCCAACATCAGTGAAGTGGGGTAATAACACTTTCGTTTGTTGTTAGGAGTTAAGCTTGAGATATATTGATAAGTCAGCTAGAAGAATTGTTCACAAATGAATAATCCTTTAAAAAAACTATTATATTATTGTAGCTATCAGTAACCAGCTTCAAATTCGTTCACTAAGAAATCTTAGTGAAAGCTTCTAGTTATAAAGTCAAAGTACTTTATTAAATGGTCTTTCTTCATCATTGTAAATCAAAAATGGCAACACCAAAGTGACAGAAGTTGGTAATATAACATAAGTGATCGAATATTACTGTGCATTTTGCGATAGTTGAGTGGTTAAACATTCATGATTTATGAATACTTGATTGTGTATTTCTATCGTGTTTCAATATATGACAATCTCCACTGAACATTTAGAATAACTATGCTTATGAATACTTCTCATTTAATGACTAGAACTGACTATTTCCCTAAATAGATTTGTTGAATAGTACAATCCAAATTACCAACAACAACGAAAAATAACGGTAAAAATTACTCCAATGCCTTTAGGATAATGTAGTCACTATGCATGGAATGACATAATAATGTATAATTCTTTTAATCAATCATTAAATCGACTAAATGGTCAAAGGTTGATAAATTAATATAATTTACAAAGTGACAGAACTATATGGACAGCTTTCAATGCTTATACATAAAGTTAAACTGTTTCTAAAACTTAACTGCCAACACATTCGATCAACAGGGAATTGATTTGACAGTCAACTAATAGAAAAGAAAATCATGGTATATAAACCATGGTGAATAAGTAGCAAAAAAAAGAATTTTTGATATTCATTTGATAATAATGCATACTATCTATAACTTATTCCAGTGGTTACTATGGATATGTTTTATTTATACACTTTTGAATTCTGATCTTTATGTTACTGCAGGTAAGAAATTTGATAAAAAATATCTTTTATGTTCTATTTTCCATTTGTAATATATTCTTTTGACTAAAATAACCGATTGTTCACAAGTTTTTAATTCATACTTAAACTAAAAATGTCATTCTATTTCACTCGCTACTGTTATAAGCAAAGACGAATAGTGGCTAGCAGTGGAATCCAAGACGCCCATTTAACCCTATTTGAGACTCGCCAGCTAGATGTGCCTGCATTTCAGAGTTGATGTTCACTCCGGGACTCGAACCCAGTACCGTTCATTTCAAGCGCTATCACCTTATCCACTTAGCTATTGAGTCCTAATAGCCAATATCGAGGCAATACACGCAGTATACACATATGCCAATAATAGACTGATCGGTTGCAGTGACAAATATTAATGGAACGATTCAAGTAAACAATACTATGTGAATTTAAAGCTACTATTAGTTTTCCATAAAACTGTCTTCATTTGCTGTTATCAGGGTTAAGCGATGATAAACTTGAATCCAGTGTTCATATTAAGTAAAGTATTAATAATTGGATTTACTGTTAGAATATTTTAAAGATTTTGAATATACAAATAAAATGTTTAATTAAAGAAATTTGAGATAAAAGCTAGAATTTATTTACTCTAAGGATTATCATCTACTTTCAGATTACCCCATCGTTATTATCCTTAAACAAATTACGAAGTAAAATTATACTACAGTTCAATCACCCTTTATACAATAGCACATTTAAACGATGGTATAATTTTCCCATTACTGCATTCAATCTGAGGTGATCGATCAACTTTGAATGTCACTTTAAAACCTTGCACTTATACAATGATGGGTAAAATGCTAGTAGAAAATAAAGATCAACATATGAAGACCATACATTAAAAACTTCATGTGCACATTATCCACCAATTGTCTCTTACTAACTTTATCGTTCCTCCATTCTTGTTATTATTACAATTACACCCTGTTTACATTCTGTTCTCCTTAGTACGATCTTCTTAATCGTCTGCTGTCAGAATTTTCACTTCTAATTAGTGGTACATACTACTGATATTTGTCAATGTAAGTAGCATACACCACACCAGTACTGTTGTGAACGGGAACACAAGTGGGGGATAACCAATGTATTTTAACACGAAAAAACAGAATATCTTGGTTAAATATGAGAATCATGCACTGAATACTTCATTTTCAAATTCATATCACTTGTCTTTCACATTATGTTTGATTCTTTCGATTTACAGTTCTTTCCGAATTCCGATCCTATTCTCATCAAGTCAACCTTCATAGCCTTTTGCTGCCAAGTTTTCCACTTCCGATTGATGTTACATACTATTTATGTCGATAGGCATAAATAACATTCACCACGCTATTGTTAATTTATACTCTTTAATGTTATTTATCATAATGAGTTGTATAATCCATTTAATTGTTATCGTTAATCAACCATGTCATATAGATATACTATTTATGAAATATAAATTGCAACATTCACTTAATTAATATTTTATTATTTATGTTTACGGTAAAGGTAGGCTAAAGGTAAAAACTGGTGGTGATGAAAATAGTTCATTTGTGGAAGAAGAGACGGGTAAGATAGATTTTACCAGATATATATTCTGAATTAAATAGATTGGAGTGACTGGAATACAATAAAAGAGTACAATATTTCTGGAACTGGAGGCAAACAAGAAAGAACAATGCAGTTCACAGTACCTCAAGGTGAAATGTAATAAATTGATATGTTTGTTTTCATATTGCTCAAATAGTTCTACGTTCTTTTTCTCGTAATCTAGCTAGTATTAGAAAGTAATTATCTACAACATAAGGTTAATTTTCATCACAAATAAACATTGATTGGAGAACTGTTAAAATATAAAGAACAATGTAAGCAGAAATAGATGGTGGCTAGCAGTAGAATACATGACGTGCGTTTCGTCCTACTTAAGACTCATCGGCTGTATGTACCTGCATCCTAGAAATGATGTTCACTCCAGAATTCGAACCCATTAACGTTTACTTCAAAAGCCAGTATGTTATCCACTTAGCTACCGAGTCCACTTTGTCACTAGCTTGTGCAATGGGGTGAAGTTTTTATTCATTCTGTTTTGGTTGTTTGAATTTTCCTATTAATGTTTAGGACCGAAATGGTTATTTAGGGAATTTTCATTAGTGTCATTTTACAATTTCATACTTAATCACACTCAATACTTTCAAGTCCTAATTCAGATGACGTGCTATCATTTCATCAAAACCCAAATGTTCATATATTTGAGTATAGCCAATATATGATAGTCGACGTTGATCTTTTAATAACTAGGATGATATTTATCATATATCTATCAGTATTTATTACTATTTTACATGAATCAAACCACCTCAAAGGTTAACATGATGGTATGGGATAATCATACAAAATTACTAGTATATAGTTGGATGAAACTAATCAATGTCCTAATTTATTTTCCGTTATTTTAGAAAAAGGATGGGAAGTTTTTACAGAAATCGAGAGTGAAGAAACCATAATACCACGTACTATAAAAATTACCAAAGCACCACGTAAAGGTAAGTCGTATTACTGTCCAACTGAGTAAATAATATTTTTCTTTTATAAATTATGTAATATGTAAAATATGTCCCTACAGAACCTCTTTAATTAAAAAAATACACTTTCGTATGGATAATTTCTTTTGAAATTAAATAATTAACATTCATCATCAATGATAAACTCCATTAGTTAATCTGATTTTTTATTCGCCAGTCACTTGATTACCATTTTCCTCAAGATTTGAATTATTCAATTTAATTACGTACTTAGTATTTTATAAATTATAATCAGAGCGGATTTTGTGGATATTATAATAATTTTAATAGTTAGATTCATGAGTCGTGTAAAGCTAAATTACCATCGTAAACCTGGAAGCACTGGACCACCGTTTCATCTCAGTATGTGACTCCCCAGTAGTGCGCACCCATCTTACAGCCTCGCGGGATTCAAATCCAGGACCTATCAATCTCCATCATTCTCTTCAGTGAGTTACTATGTCACAACAGACCCAGTTGAACTTCACTGGTCTCTGACGTTTCGTGGCTCAGTGTAAGTCACTTCTTCAGAGAAATCCAATTCACTGGCCTCTGTTTTTTACTAGAACTCCAGGAGACACCTCTTGAAGCCAGTCATTAGTGAACATATGATGATTATAATCAGGACTGATAGGTCCTGGGTTCGAGTCTCTTGAGATGGGACCGTGGATTCTCACAGCCTAAGAGTTCCATATTAGGATGAAACGGCCGTCCCGTACTTTCAGGTTTTACACTGTGGTCTAGCTTCAATTGACTCATGAATCCAACTATTAAAATTTATAAATTATTTACATAGTGCATGAGTAAGTATTTACAGAATAGAATTTTCCTTCATTCGCTAGAGTTTAAACGATAAAATTTTGACATTTAAAGGAATCTAATTTATGATCTATAATAAATGAATTTGAATCAACTAAAAAAAATTAACAAATAGTAAAGCTTAGAAAAGTGTGGCAAATATCAATAAGGAACATTTTGGTGAAGTTTTGTTCTCTGAGCTGGATGGAGAACGAAATCCAATGGACCAGTACTTTCTCGATTCTACGGCAGACCCAAAATACACAAACCACACGACCAAACCATCCAGCTGAGAGAACAAAATCATCCACTTGAGATACAAATCTTCTCCACCATCTCAATAAGGAACATTAATTTTAAGGCTAATTATCACCTGATTTATTCGCCAATCGAAATGTAACTTATACAATAATAATACTGTGCCAAACCAATGACTTTCGACTTGTTTGAGCAACTTGTCATTCTTATTAGTCCTTTTTTTCTCCTAGCTTTTCCAGTTGAGTTCAGAACGGCAACAACATCTTCCACTATGCGAATCATCTGTTACAAACATAATTAGTTTATATACCAGCCAAATAGACCACATCACACCATAATATAGGAAATAAACTTTGTGCAAATAGTGGCTATGAATGTAGGAGACTATAATCAATAAACTAAACATAACTTAGGAACAATAAATCGTCTAATAATAGTCTGTAAGTCAAAATGAAGCTTATAATAAGAGGAATATAGATATGCATAATCGAGTTATACAATAAAAAATATATAGATAATATTAGTCCATTACTAGGTTTCAAAAGTTAACTGCAATTTAATCTTCACTAGAATATAATAGTATTCAAGTGATTGTAATTTATTATGACTGTACATAATCATCATATATATTTGTATGTCCATATTATATTACCGCCCTTCAATTGTTTGTGGAAATAAGTATATTAATAGGAAAACACAATTTTTCATTATAGCTGTCAAGTATTGGCCATTACTGAGTTCAATTGTTTTAATGACATAAACTTGTAGAAATACCTTCTTTGTTAAAATAATATCGTTTTTTTTCTTGCGTTAACTAAATTTCTTTACAGTGCCTCCGACAGGTACGTACTATATATATAAAAAATGTCATACAATTTTAATACAGTTGCTTGCCTTTACATAGTGGTTTACCATTAGTTGATCACAACCATATATATATACTAAATTGTAACATCGAGATAATCATATAATATGAAGCAGTCAACATTGATGATGAATTATATAAAAATAATAAAGATTATAAATAATGACTATATACATATCTCACGGGTTGAAATCATGAGTCGATTGAAGCTAGACCACCATGGAAAACCTGGAAGCACTGGACGGCCGTTCCGTCCTAGTGCGGGACTCCTCAGCAGCGCGCATCCGCGATCCCGCACCACGCAGGTTTCGAACCCAGGACCTACTGGCTTTGCGCGCAAGCACTGACAAGTTTCGTCATTATATGGAAGCATAATTTTAAAGAATGTATTTTGTTTAACCTATTTTAACCTAAAATGCACTCTAAATGATAAGAGGATTCAAATTCTCGCCTTTTGCTTCTGAATACTTTTATATCTATAAAAAAATTGGGAGTTACTTATTTTATACTCATCTCAGTATGTAAAGTAGTACACAACTTACTATAGATAAAAGAAATCTTGATCTGAAATATTCTAATCGTTCGAGGTGTTTTTCGGCTAAGATTCATTCAATTTTGATGTATTTCTTCGTAATTTCAAGAAAATTATTCCTTGGGAACATGTTTGTTAATGATTGCAGTTGAAACATTTTTCTGCATTACAAGTAAACTTGACATTATAATAACACCAATCTAGTTACAAATAATAACTGACCACTAGATATTATTACAACTATCAAGCCTCAAGTTTTATTAAGTAAATTAGTGGGAGGTTAAGCGTTCGCACGCGAGACCGGTATGTTTGAATCTCGAAAGGCGGGATCATAGATGAGCACTGATGAGGAGTCCCACACTAGGAAGAAACGGCCGTCTAGGTTTTCTATGGTGGTTTAGTTTAAATGAACTCATGATCTTTTCAATTAATATATATATATATATCTTTATATTAAAGTAATAACTAGAAAGAATTAATTGAAAATATAATTGTTTGTTTCAATGTTTCCAGAAGAAACAATTCGAAAGTCAAGAGCAGAAGTTAAAGTTGATAGAAGAGTTACAAGAACGACACCAGGTAAATGAAATTAATAAGTATATATCGAAAACATTTATGACTTATAAAATCAACTAAATTATAACAATAGATGACTTCAACAGTAATAATATTTGATCATTGTTATGTAATCATTTAATTAACAAATTACCCAGTTACAATTTTGTATTGCTTTCTTCAACAATCGATTATCTTTATTATTGATTGCGTAATAATCTAGTTATTGAAAGTTAGCCACAAATATGAAAATATATATTAGATGTGAATGATTCTGTGTAATGAACTATATCATTTTTGATGATTTTTAAGTTACTGTGTTCATTTGGCTATGTATTTATTCGTCAATTTATTTCTCAATAATAATAAGACATATTTGATGTCTTTCTTTATGGAATCATCTTTTGTCTTGCATATGCTTTAAGTTAAACATATCTAATTAACATAATTAATATAAGAGATCAGAGAATAGAAATTTTTGATTGAAATCATGAGTCGATTGAAGCTAGACCAACATGGAAAACCTGGAAGCACTGGACGGCGTTTCGTCCTGATGGAAAGCCTTGACCAGTGGAGCTAATCCGTGAAGGGTAGAAACAGGTGTCTACCTCAGTATAATGGAAGATGGTCGCGCAACTTCGTGGATTGGCTGAGGTTATACATGCTGGCTCAGTGGTCTACTTAGTTAAGCGCCTGACGCGAGACTGATGGGTCCTGGGTTCGAATCTCGCGGGGTGCGGGATCGTGGATGCGCACTGCTGAGGAGTCTCATACTAGGACAAAACGGCCGTTTAGTGCTTCCAGGTTTTCCATGGTGATCTAGCTTCAAATGACTCATGATTTCAATCAAAAACTTAAAAATCTCCACATCACCCAAACATAATAGAAATTTCGCTTGCTAGTTAAGTGAAAATCATAATAGTCTATGGCAGTAAGACCTATATTGTTGTAGTGAATGAGAAAAAAAATGAGATCGATCCTATGCATTTGAACACACAAATTATAAAACATTTTAGTAAAATCTGAAAACCATACAGTATATACTTCATTTGCAAAATGTTAATCAATCGTCTCAGACTTCATTGTACCCTCGTTTCCACACCAATCACACTTTGTTCTCATTCTACTTTCATCGATCTTTTTGACCTTGTGCCTTGACGCATTTCACTTTCGATTCATGATACATACTACTTATATCTGTCGAGATCAGTAGCATACACCACATTGTAATCATTCAAAAAAGAAACTTGATGATCTTAATTAAAATAAAATTGAGTTATTTGCATTAGATGTAACAAAATAATTTTACATTCAACATGATAACTTTTTGAGCTGATACACATTTAGTTTATTAAGGCATAAATAAACTTGTCGAACATATAATACCTTAGATTTTTGTGCTATTCACTAGATACGAAAACTTCTGAAGTAAAACACTAACGCTGTCTGGTGACAGCAATGAACACAAATTAAAGAAACATTTTATTTATATGAAAAATAAGCAACTATGGGCTGGTATCAGAAGGGGTTTTGTGGAGATTGTAGTGATTCCAATAGTTGATATCATGAGTCAATTGAAGCTAGACCACCATGCTTCCAGGTTTTCCATGGTGGTCTAACTTCAATTGACTCATGATCTCAACGATTGAAATTATGGATTGCTTTAAACAATGAACATTATATATATATATATATAAATATATATATATATATAATTATAATTATTTTTAATTTAGAAAAGGAAGAAGATGAAGAGGATGAGAAACCAATACAGGAGAAAAATACTAAAAAGCCTATAGAAGAAGATGATGATGAAGGTCCAGGTGAGCAATGAAATATCTTTGAAATTTACTTAGTATGATACATACATAAACATTTATGAGTTAATACATCAAAAGCTTCATGATACAACGTTGGATATAATAATCAATGTATATAGACAAATATATGAATTCTAATGAAAACAATCTATGCTAAAATATTAGAAACAGAATGAATATAAAGAAAATATATCCGTTGATTCACAAAAGAACACATTACTCTACAGCCAATCCACGAAATTGCGCCATCATCTACCATTGTCTTCAGTGAGTTACTATCTCACAACAGACCCGATCGAAATCGACTAGTCACGGCTTCTCACTAGAACTTCAGGTAATAACTCTTGGTCATAGTTCATAATAGAGATTAGAATAAATAGGTTGCGAAAGGTATTAAATACTAAAATTATCACATTTTAGTTACAAGTGACGTAAATACAATAGCTCATTCATTTTTGAAGGAAACACTGATGATAATCTAAAAAAATGGTCGATGGAAATTTCTCTATTCGAACACTGATTATGAATAATATGTTTGTTTAATGTTTTGTTTACGCCTGTTACTCTCAATGGAGCATAGGCCTGGAGCCTCTCTGGAGCTACTGATGGTCCCAAGCCTGGATAAGGGAGGAGGGTTGAGTATAGGGTTAGCGACCCCGTCCCGTAGAAAACCAACTCGCGAGAAAAACGCTAACCAGAAAAAATTATGAATAATATAATAACACCTAAATCTTTCTTCTGAGCTATGCCTTTATACAAATAGAGTTAGAACTGTAAAAGTACATACTATTTTCCAACAAGAAATTATGCTTAGTTAGTTCTACATTTTATTAAGTACCACCAGATTATACTGATATTTTGGTGAGACTATAATTTATGGACGACCTTTGAGTGATGCCGAAGTGACATTTAGAGTATTCACTTATTAACCAGAACCAAATGAGGGTTATAAATTTGTATGAGGAATTAGAATTATGATTTACAGTTGATGATTAAGGTTAGTAATTAGATTTAGGGTTTTCATCACAAACTGACATCAGCTATGATGTCAAAACTCTATTTATCCAAATGGATGAGTGAATTTCGCACCAAAATCCGAGACCTGCTATTTTATACGTGACTGATTCGTCTACAAATTATAGTCTTGTCAATTTTTTTATTATTGGTTATGTAAATTTTATTTTCATTAGAGTATGAACGAGACTTTCAAAGAGAAATCAGAATTGGACGCAAAAGGAAAGGTAATTTTTACACAATTTATAAAACAAAAGGTTTTATTTTGTTAATTGAATATTTATTACAATTTAGTTTATCATTACTAAAAGTTATCAATAGGTAATTTAATAGTTAATTTCATGGATCAATTGAAGCTAGATCAAGATGGGAAACGTGAAAGCACTGGAGGGCCGTTTAATCTTAGTATGGAGCTCTTAAGCAGTGCACATCCACGATCCCACCTTGCGGGATTTGAACCCAGCACTTATCAGTCTCGTGCGCAAACGCTTAATATCTAGACCACTGATCCGGAATCCAACGGTGTTAATGTCTAACTTCATCCAATCCATGAAATTGCGCCACCATCTACTATTGTCTTCAGTGAGTTACTATCTCACAACAGACCCGATCGAAATCGACTAGTCACGGCTTCTCACTAGGACTTCAGGTAATAACTCTTGGAAACGGTCCCTAGTGAGCATATGATGATTAGAGTCAGAAGGGGAATTTTGTGGAGATTGTAATAATTTATTAATTGAATTCATGAGTCAGTTGATGCGAGACCACCATAGAAAACCTGGAAGCACTGGACGGCTAGGTTTTCCATGTTTTCCATGGTGGTTTAGCTTCAATTGACTCATGATTTCAACTGTTACAATTACTATAATATTCACAAAACCCCTCTCTGATTATAAATAGGTGTTTAGTTTATCTTTGATAAATTGTTATCAACAAATCTTAATACAGTATATGTGATAATGTTTTTTAGGGGGAAGGTAAATGAGAAAAAAAGTTTACATTTTCTCCTATACTATCTATCTTAATATAAAACTATTTATCTTTCTTATAATAATAGGCAAAAAAATTGGTGAAGAGGTTTCAATAAAATTACCTAAACAAGTTCGGAAGTCAAGTAATTTGCATTATTCTTCACTATATAATTTATTAATAATTCCTTTATCATTAATATGTGTTTAAAATGTATTACGTGCTTTTTTATCGGCTATAAAATATAAAACGATGTATGAATTGAAAGAATTCACTTGAAGTTACTTACTTACTTACTTACTTACTTACTTACTTTCTTACTTACTTACTTACTTACGCCTGTTACTCCTCGTGGAGGAGCATAGACCGACCACCAGCATTCTCCATTCAACCCTGTCCTGAGTAATCCTCTCCAGTTTTTTTTGAGTTGCCATTCATACTGTTAATGTCTGATTCCGATTCCTGATGAAGTATGTTATTTAGCCTACCTATTTTCCTCTTTCCTTCAGGATTCCAAAATAGCGCTTGCCTAATGATGCATTTTATTGATTTCCTAAATGTTTACCCTATCCAGTTTCAAAGCTTTTGCCAAATTTTCTCTTCAGTTGGAAGTTGGTTTGTTCTCTCTTACAGTATGCTGTTACTGATGGTATCCAGCCAAAGAACATTCAGTATCTTGCGTAGACAACTATTTGCAAATACCTATATCTTTTTGTTTATAAACACTACGACTATTAAAACTCTGCCTGACTTAACATAAACAGTGAGAATATCGACCTACTAAGATATATTGTTGTTCACAAACAAATATCTTTATAACACATACCGAAACTAATAGAAAGCAATACAATTGTCTTGATGTAATTTTCTAAACATGAGGCTTGTAGGTACTTGAAGCAAATTTTGACGTCATAATTAGTTTGAACTGATAAGGAATCTGATATTGGGAATAAACAGTCCTTCAGTTCTTTCTAGTTTTGTTTAACTAGTCGTCTAACTAAAGTTATTCTAAAGTGAAAATTATCTTCAAAGTTCAGTAATCACTACAAACCTTGTTATTGTTATCTTATATAAATACTATAAAATAATGATTTTAACTAAGTAGTTTTGAACTGAATCTTTGTTGTCTGGCTTGTTAAAGTATAGAAATAATCTCAATAGTTAAGATCAGAAGTATGAGGGCGGTTATCATTTCCCGGTTGCCCACACCGTGGAAAGGTTCTTCTGGAGGTACCTGAAAAGGAAATTGGATTAGAGGTGGTCTTAGTGACCTGAGAGCGTGACCAAAGTGCCCAAGGGACAACTGCTTGAGGTCGGTCACACACGACCCTTTTATGAGTAATTTTTGTGTTAGCTCCGTACTTGTTGAGACCTTATCGCCGGAGACGGATATCCGTGGGATAAGGTGAAGTGTGCATTTTTAGGGTCGACCTTTTCTAACCCCACCCCTCCTTGTGGGAAGGCAGCAACTCTGTCATGCTAGTTGTCTGAAGGAAACACGTTACTGCTGTCACACATCTGTACAGTCAGCAGTACGGCTTCGCCCTCAGACCTTGTGTTATCTGCTTTTAGTCTTACCGCTCTCCAACCAACCTGTCTGGCATTGTAGGACCTTGAGAAACGACTGTTCCAGCCAGTATAGCTCGATTGCTTCATCACGATAGACAAGCCCGACCACCACGTCAAGGTAGCAACAACGGTCGGGATGATTTGGTTCATTAATCTATAAGTTCTTAAACCGTTCTCAATTTATTGCATAATTAAATTATAATAACTATTAAGTCTTAAAACTAATATAGGTTATCTCATAGTAAAGAAAAACTCCTAACTGATTCATAGAAATGATAGGTCTATTACAAATATTGTTTTCATTTCAATGAGTGTCTAGTTCATAGTCATTTTACAGGAGATTGTTTTGATTATTTATTTGATTAAATAAAATCAAAATTTTTGTAAACTAGATGAGCATGGAAAATCTAAAACTAATGCATATTATTTAAACTTATCTTCATTTCTGGAGAGCTTATTCTATTCTTGGTTTACTAATAACTCTGATAATTGTTACTACGATAGCTCTAAACATTATTTGATCTTCAGAAGGTGAAATATAGCAATTAGACAGATTTGTTTCAAGTACACAACTTATGTGATGCAACCAGCAGTCAAGGATCAATGTGAAGAAAACGGAAGGAACAATATTTACTATCCTAATTATTTCATATAAATGAATAAGTCATTTCATTTATGTACTATATCGATAGTTTTAAATAATTAGTGTTTTCAATATAGTGAAAATTCCCATTTTGCCATTTGGTAAATAAAGAAGGAACGAATTGAGCGAAGAAATTTCTTCGCTCAATTCGTTCCTTCTTGATTAGTGTTTTGGTAAAGAAGCGGGTAATTTTCGTAAAAACGTACACAATCATAAAAGGTACGTTCATAAAAGAGTGTAGGCAAATTATTCAGTATTAAAATAACAGTTTAACTTTATACAATTAAAAGTGTTTGGTCCTCTTAAATACATACAAGCCTGCGTATACGGTAAGGCGGCATAGATATAATCTATAAGATAATTTAAATTTTTATTACATATAATTAATCTATGTAACTCAAAACAGTCATACTTTACTCATTTGTCTTTTGTTCTTTCTGAACAAACACTAGACGATCCAGCTTTTTATAAGAACTAGAAGAGATACACAAGAAGGAAAACAGAAAAAAAAACATTATGGTGTACCCAAGTGTTTTTCACATGAAGAAAATCACCGAAAGATAACGTTTTAAATTTTCAATATTTTCTCTTAATAGTTTTCAAATTAAATTTATCATTTAAAAGAAATCTGTATTAGTGTTTTATTTAAGCGGTTTGTTTAAACGGTTGGTAATAAATAAAAATGAAAGGTAGTATACATGTTTTATTGATTAACAAATTAACATGGTAACTAAAAGAATACATGAATATCTCTAGGTTATTAATGGTACTGTATTCTATGTTCACATGACGCAATAATGTTCAACTAATGAGGTCAAAATAAAATACTTTCATCTTCTAATTCAATAATAGTCATAATGTGGTGTGTGCTATTGATGTCAACGGATATAAGTAGTATGTATCATCAATGAAGAGTAAAATGTCTGGTGACAAAAGATTAAGAAGATCAAAGAATAAAGAACGAGAATAGAGAGTAATTGATGTGAAAACAATTTGTGTGTTCAAATACATTCGATTGACCCTAGCTGTGTTCTCGTTCAGTCAGTCTGTCAGCTACAAAGTAGGACCAGACACATACATTCATCGGTCCAAGTTGACACACCCCATTAGTACAGCAAGATGAACACTGGATTCATGCAAGCAGTTAACTCAATAGTGTCATATATAAATGAAAGATTTTGTGTAAGGACATGGTAAAAAAAGAAGGATATGAAGCGATTTTAGTCTCTTAGTTTAAGGGAAGACAAAGAGTGTATACACTATCGCCAATGTGACCGATTCTGAGCCATGTCACCCATAGTCTCCAACCATTGGTTACGATAGTCGCGGGGACTCCAACCAAGTAGTCTGAATCTACCAACATGGTTCAGACTAGAAGTTAGTGACTTCAAGCACTAATGCCAAGTTTTGGTTTCGCCACCCCTAACTACAGTAATAATAGATTATGTATATAAAACTATTTTCGAAAATGTATTTACAAATGAAAGTTGAATAAGGTCAAATTATGCTGATCATTTGGAACGCCAACCTTTTTAATTCATTGTGTTTGATAAGAAGTTCATTCAACTAATTTAGCTAATAATTAAATTAAAACTTAGAGATTGATGGATTCGAATTTATGAACTTGCATAAAGCTTCTGTAAAATTAGTAATAAATAGTGAGAAGTGAAACATTTGGCTTTAAACCGTCTGGTTTACATCTGTAATACATATTGTAATACACGACTGTTGGATAAGAGATAAAATCCAACAAACTAACTCGGTTTAATTCAGCGTCATCATTTGAGAATAATCGTTCTAAATATTTCGAAAAATAATCTAAGCCCGTTAAAATAAATTGCTGGACAATGGAAGATGGTCGTCGTGGTTAAAATTAGAAATTGGCACCGTTGAATGACGACTTAGTGATCTAGAGGTTGATCGTTCATCGGTCCCATTTGTGGGATCATGGAAGCGTACTGCTGAGAAGTCCCATCTCAAAAAGAAGCAGTCACCCAGTGCTTCCAAGTTTTCAATGATTGTTTAACATTGATTGATCCATGGTCTTAATTAAAACTCAACAATCTCCATAACCCTATACTGATAAATTATATATCTTTATTTATCAGCACTTTTACATTTAAATAGTCTTGTTCAGTTGTTTAAATAATGGCACTATGAAATAAGTATTCAAAACATGTATACCACAACCGCATATATATTTTTTTATTAAGATTGGAAATGTACCGAACGATCAGTTGGAATGCTTGGGTATTCTGGAGCAAGTTTAACAGAATTAATTGAGTACAGATGGATAATGGCTAGCTGAGGAATCCAGAACGCGCGTTTTGCCCTATTCAACACCCGTCAGTTGGATTTATCTGCATCTAAGTTGATGTTCATTCTAGGGTTTGAACCCAGTAGTGTTCGCTTCAAATGCCATCGCGTTGTTCACTTAGCTACTGAGTCCTGATGGCCGTTTGCTTGTGCTACCGGACGTAATCTAAATACCAAGAGAATTAACTGAATTTATTAGGTTCCTGATGCCTGATAAAAGTAAATAATAAAATAATATGATGTCAATTTGAAAATTGAAATATGATATGCCGTTTTAAATTTCACAATTTTTGACAGCTGAGTAAGTTTAGTCTTTTTCGTGAGTTCAGGCAGATAGAACTAAATAGGGCTGTCTAAGCCTTTGTTTATAGAAAAGAAAACTTTCAAAATGTAATTTATTATGTCTGATAAGAAATTGCTTAGTACTCATTTTGCAGAAATACTGAGTGATTACTTCTTTAGTTGATTATTCAATCTACGCGTCTGACCTACATTTGATCCTAATCGAAAATCTTTTCATATGTGACATTATACTACTAGATAATATGTAGTAAACAATTTTAATTTTCAATATTTTTGTACATTCAATGAATGTTTATGCGTGTAAGTGTCTACTTTTCGATCTTTGACTTTGAATACAGTTACCTGTTGTTATTCATACTATCTATTGTATCGTGTAAAT